CTAAACCCTTACATTACCTCTCAACCCTCCCACCAGGCTTTGGCTGCCCAGCCACCTCGGGGGCTCTCCACCGTCATGCCGGGTGCAGCCCAGGCCTCTGGGTGCAGGGGTGCTTAGGGGTTTAGGGTTTAGGCTTCAGAGAGACCTCGTTCAAAAAAGGGTTTAGGGTTTAGGGTCTTGAGTTTTGGGATTTTTATAGCGGGGGATTCAGGATTTGGGGTTTTTGCAAGGTTTTCAGAATATGCGGTTCAGGATTTAGGAGACCCTATAGGCTTTTCATTTCTTCATGTGTGCTGTAGGGTTGTCAGGGGTTGATTTTGTTAGATTTGATTGTTTCGTTTTGATTGTAGGTGGGGTTTAGGTGCGATGGGTGTGGAGCCGGGTTCGAGGGTTTCGGCACTGACGGCCCAAGCAATTTAAGGTTTGCTCAGAAGGGCCGATCTGTTTTGTTTGGTTTTGGTGATCCTCGAAAGCGACACACGGTAACGAGGATCAATCGTCGATTTGTGAGACGGTTCGGAGGCCTCCAAAATTGGGATGAGTGCCCAAGTCTTTATCCCCGGCATCAGGCGAGGGAGATCGTGGCGAAGCTACATCCAGAGCTTCTTCCCACGGCGGAGCTCTTTGCCACGTCGTTGAGACTTGGCTCCAAGTAGAGGAGAGCCTGGCTTGAGTCGAGCACAGTCTTTTGCTGGTCCATGACCGCTTACAGTTCTGTGATTCGTATGGAAGCCTAAATACTTGGCAATGCTATTCCTCAAAACCTTCGAGGCTTAGGGTTGTTTCTTCTACTTATACTACAAAGGAGCGCAAAGCCCGATTCTGACTAGCAAGGCCCCTACATGACGGGCGCCTGAACAGCCCGGAGTCCTGGAAGCTCCTAACGTAGAAGATTCTCCTTGGGGCTTGCGGGTTCCTTCTGATAATCAAACTCTAAGAGAGCTCAAAGCCCTTTTATTCCCGAAGGCCTTAGGGTTCAGTGTTATTATTATTAGTATTATTACTATTATATGATTTGTTAAACTATAGAGGAGCTGGAAAACCTCTTGCCTCCTAGTCTCCAAATCTCCCGGCTGCTTCGTGTCAGCTTCTGCCCCTTGAGGAATGCCATGGCCATTCCCATCGATGAGGTGGGGTTTTGGGGTTTAGGGTTTAGGGTTTAGGGTATCAAGTCCGGTTTCAAAAAAAGGGTTTAGGGTTTTGGGGCCTTGGGGCTTTGGGGTCTTGGTTTCGGGGCGCAGCGGCCTGAAAGAGTCATCGTCATAGTCCTAACTGCAAGCATCCCCCATATCCAGAATCCCTGAAAGAGAGACCCTGAAAACCCTGCGAACTGAATCCCTGCTGCCCTGATCGGATCCCAGACCCACAACAACACACCCTCAACCCTAAATCAATAGACTTTTAGAGGGTTTTGGGCTTTTGAGAGTGAAACATCCATACTCAACCCACCCTGAACCCGAAAAGCAACCTCCTTGCAGCAGGTCGCTCTGCGGCTGGTGCACCTCGCTGAGAGCTTCCTGGCAAGTCGGCCACCGGAGCAAGCCGCCCGGCAGGGACCAGGAACCAACGCCGAAACCCCAAATATGCCAATAGCAAGATACAGCTAATACTAGTAGTAGCAATACTAACACGGTGACTAACCACAACACCAAAGGACTACTGCTAATCCTAATGTTAAGCAACAACAATTAAAAGAGAAACAATAATAGTCATAGTCGCAACAAGAACAACCACAACACTAACGGTAATGGTATCATTAAACAAACAATGGTACCAACGACAACAATACGTAAACGTAATAGTAGCAGCAGTAATAGCAATGACAAGGGCCCCAATAGTAGTTGCAATAATACTAACAAACATACGGCTAGGAGCAGGATAGTAAGTAACAATAAGCGTAACGATAACACTAGGACTTTGCATCATAATCCCAAATTCAAAGCCACAAAATTTGGTTCAGAAACCCCTGGTTTCTTTCAGGGCGCTTGATGTGCATGATTTTGGATACCTTTTGTCGCAGCGATGACAAGTCTGACTGAGCATGCTGCGGACAGCCAGAAGGGCACACGCAGCAATACCCAACAGTGGCAGGGTACTGAGACTAATGTAGGCCAACGCATATTATTAAGGCCCCTACACTAAATCTCTATACAACCCTTTATAAGAAGCCGTATAGTAACCCTTTAAAGGCACCCTGTTCTAACATCCGAAAGTTGTCAGGGCCTTGAAAGGATATTTGCGAGCGGATTCTATTGACAGAATTTACTTGAAGGGTTGAAACGGATCCTGGAGTGTGCAAGGAGTACATAGGCATGTGGCTTTGCAGGTGGGTATGTAGGCATGTAGGTGTGCAGGTATGTCGGGATGTCGGTATGAAGGTATGTGTGCATGTATGTATGCAGGTATGTATCTATGTATGTATGTATGTATGTATGTATGTCTGTATCTACATGTGCATGTACGCAAGGTATGCACGCACGTATGCATGCAAGCACGCATGCATGTTTGCATGTACCTGCGAGAGTAGATGAGAACCCGAAGAGCGACCCGTGGACCTCGCCGGACCGGCCGACTGGTGAGGTCGTGGACGCGGCAGGGATGATCTTGAGGCACATGCGGGTGTTGCGGGGGATAAGAGGCTTAAGGTGTAGGGTTGAGGGACCCCTTTTGGCTCTTCTTGCAAAGGTTTCATTTCTTTTATGGGTTAAGAAGGCCAAACCCGGGGCCAGGACCAAAGACGAAGGTGTCGCTATCCATACTTGGTCGATGTTCCCTTGGCCCTTGGGTGATGCGAAGTTGCGAAGTAGGGGCCGAAGAAAGGCCTAAGACGAGCATCGTGAGGGCATAGTAGGGATGATTTTAAGGGGTTGATGACGGCATCATCAGGGTTGAATAGGGCTTGTTGCCATGATGATACAAGTTTTCGGCAAGTAATCCTAAGCTTGCTACCGCAATCCCTCTACATTGAAACTTAAGGGCTGAACCTTGAGTTAATTCTCGTTCAGCACGTCTTCGAGGCAGTTCGAAACCTGGTGAAGCCCATCCGTCCTTTCTGGCATGTAACCGGCTTTTGCAACTTGAGTTTATTCCACAAGATGGGACCCTGAACACTCTCGGCCCCTCCAGTGAACCTGTCCTTCACGGTCCAGAAGTTTCGGCAAGAGCACTCAGCTGAACCACGCTTTTGCCGAGGCCTGGCCGGGAGACGATACAAAGAAACCCAAGTCTTCTGCGGCATGCAAAGCTTGAAGCCCACAACAGAAAAGCCCGAGCCCTACCCTTACTCTTAAAGTCTCAAAGTATCTTCAATCCTTGCGGACGGAAACAGAAAGCTCGAGCGAAGCTTAGGGCCCTGAGCCACACGCCCCGAAAGTCGGAACGACTGCGTAAAGCCTTAACGCCCAGGACCCGAAGCCCCTCACTCCAGAACCCTAAAGCCCGCAAGACTTTGAACCCTAAAGACTCAAGCGGATACTCCTGAACACCATAGAGACCAAGGCACTTCGCTTCGCTCCTGGATCTTCTCGACTCCGGCGTGGGCGAGGCGGGCGCTTGTTGGATCAGGGGGCCGAGCACGAAGATGTTTTACACCATTTTTCCTAGACGGTGCAGAGGGCTTTGAAAAGTCTTTACAAGAGATGTGTTTACGTTGCTTCATGGGCTCAGGGGATGTAGTTTAAGTTGGCTAACCCCAATTAGGTACGTATACTTCCTAAGTCCTGTGATCCTTTCAGTGAGGCCGCTGCCTGCGGGGTGAGAGCACAGCGCTTCAACTTTTAGCTCAGGAGTCTCTCGCGCTCTAACCCTAAAGCCTAAACCCTCGCAGGCAACAGAAAAACCCTAAACTCTAAGCCCTAAACCCTAAAAAAGCCCCTTTGCCACCTAAGCTTCAACGTGCGCTGTGTCCCAGGCCCAGACCGGATGACCCTCGAAGCCCAAGTAGCAGCCTGTGGGCTTCAGTGGTGTAGCATCTAGAACGTACGGGCCGGTTGCAACTCCTGAAACATAGGGTTTAGGGTTTTTCAAAAGGGTTTAGGGTTTAGGGTTTAGGTGTGGACTTCGGCCTTAGACCCAAACCACAAAGCCCCCTCAGCGACAAAAGCCACGAGCTCTGCTAGGAGTGCTGCTTCCGCAGCATTCTGCCTGCCAGCGAAGATGATGAAGTGCTGGTGATTTGGCTTCAGTTTTCGGTTTAGAGTTTTGGTACTAGGTTTGGGTTTCGGGTTGAAGGGTTCAGGCATCGGCGGGCTAGGCTGGGGGATGAGGGCTTAGGATGCAGGTTTGACAATGAGTTCTTAATCCCACAGAAGTCGGTGCTGTCGGAGCCACTACGCCCATACCCTCCTGTACACCTGAAGACCAGAGTCCCAAATTCCAAAGCCCAAGCCCCAAGCCGTCAACCCTTCCGCCCCAATATCTTTATTGTGAATTATAGTATAATGGGGCCCAAAAACCCTATTCTAATCATTAAGGACCCTATATTACGCCCTCGAAGCCTCAAGCCATAGCCGCAGCCTAAACCCTCGAAGCCTCGTTCCCCCTAAGCTATGGAACAGTGGAAGTTCAGCGGAAGTTGTGAGTTTCAGGGTGTTCGAGGCTACTTTCCGTGCTGAGCTTCGGGGTGAAGTTTCAGAGCATGGTCGGGGGACGGTTTCGGATCAGGGCATGGTCAGGTTCGGTCTCACGCCATGGTCACTTCTTCGTCCCAGGCCTGCCAGAATGAAACGGAAACTGACCACATCGCCCCCCGAAGCTGATTCCTGCTGCGCCGAAACTATCCTCCTGTGATGCGAAACCGCCGGCAGCCGATCCGAAACTAGAACCCCGAAACGATGGACACCCACGGAACAGCTCTCAAGCATGCGACAAACAGGCCGAACCTAGCACCCGCCTCTTACAAACTCCGACGGTCTCGTGCCACATGTAAACAGCATGAACACAGGCAGCTAACGAGGCAAATGGAAGTGCAAGCGACATCATTGTATAAGTATGAGAGATGGTTACTCTAAACACATCTGTACTTAGTGTCATGGGTTCGGAGGCATCATCAACAGCTATCTCACGTGTCGCGGGTAAAGCTTAAACCCTACAGATTGGCAGACCTCGTCTGGCTGAGTCCGACGCCAAGTAAGTGCATAGCCTTTGAGCTCAGCTCAATTTCTACCAAAATGATTAGTAATACGAATACTACCGTCGGGTTCCTGATTATTTCTATACTGCAATATACCCCGACCCTTAATCAATTGTTCCTGTTATTCAGGCCCCTATATTCCAACCCTAGAAAGCCCCATAAACACCGAGAGCCTAAGCCCTAAACCTTAAAAAACACGGAAACCCTAAACCCTAGACCTCGTCTGGCGGAGTCCGAGTTGCGAGAGCGTAAACCCTAGACCCTCCCTAAACCCTAAACCCTGAGTGCTGAAACCCTAAACCCTAAACCCCAAACCCTAAACCCTAAACCCTAAACCCCAAACCCTAAACCCTAAACCCTAAATCCCAAACCCTAAATCATGAAGCCCAAGAGTGCTTCTAAGGCCTTCATGGGCTGCGTGCCCTGCCTGACCACGGCGTATGCGCGGAGGCGCTGGGGCCCAGGGGTTCCGGGGGCTCTTCAGCCTCGTGGCGTCGGGTTTAGGGATTTGGGTTTCGAAGTGCCCTGAGCTCTAAACCCTAAAACTCAAAACCCTAAAACCCTAAACCCAAAACCCTAAACCCAAAAACCCTAAATAAAGCCTAACTTGGTTTTTGGATTTGGTTCCGGTGAGGGGTTTTGGGGGAGAGCCGGGGCTTTGAAGTTTGGAGGTTCCAGGTGTTTTGCCATGGTCTTAGAGCGCTTTTTGCGGTTGGATGGGTTTCTATAAACCCCAAGCCCTCAACCCTAAACCCTAAACCCCTAAACCCTCAACCCTCAACCCTAAACCCAGATCTACGAGATTATGGCGATGTCAGGGCAGCTGGAGAGACAGGCCTGGAGACCAGGAGAATGGTGCCATGCATGGGGCTTCAGGGGTAACACCTTTGACTGAACACGCCATGTCTCGGCGGTGGAAGAGACAGGGGGTGTTGGAGGAGCTGCTGTGTCCGATGCGGCTTTGCATGAAGTTTCGTTCGGTCCTGATGTGGTGTTGGAGTATGCTCGCACTTACCACCGTGGTGATACTTCGGATGATGGGCCTGAACCGAGTCAAGAGACCTAAGCGGAAGGACGGGCTCCCGAAATGCTAAGACGGTCAGAGGCCTGCCCAATTGGTCTCTCTGGCAGCATGCTTCTACATCCCAGTCGGAAGAAGGTGTCAAAAAAAGAAAGACCCTAAGCGTGATCCCGAAGGTTCCTGTCTCTGTTCTTGCCGCCTTTCCGACGGCTGCTCTTCTTGCACCGGCCGACGCCAAGCTGCACATGGTTGAGCGGTTGGAGGTTGAGGGTTCCGAAACCCCAAAGCCCAATCGAGTCTTCGTGCGGGTTCGGGGTTTGGAGCTGTAGGCACTTGAAACAGCTTTCGGTGCCAAGCCTCGAGACTAGCGAACCCCTGACACCAAGCCCAGTCAACGTTGCGGTTCAGAGCTCTTTGTCGGGTACTAGTAGAGGCCTCCCTTCCGGCTTCTTCATAACCCATGTAGTTTTCTGCTGCATAAGATGATGTTCAAGAAGCCCCTAATGCCAAATGACCACAGTTCAAAGGTACTTGGCGAACATGCCGCAGTCCAGCTCCGCGCGGACAGAGCTGACAAGGACCGGCAAACCTATGCTTTTCGGCTCTAAGAGCTTTCAAGCTTCAGGATTGGCTTTGCTGCAGTGGACGCAACTCCAATCCATGGCTTAAGTTATGCAGCCAGGCCGTCAGACTTTCAAGCTTGAGTTCCCTATCCACCAAGCATCTTCTGAAGCATTCCTTGCCACCTCCGAGCCATGATGATGTTGCTGAATGACCATCATCCCGGAGAGTAGGGGTTCTACTTTCGACGACCACTGCCCTCAGCCCCAAACCGACCCTAAACCCTAAACCCCTAAACCCCTAAACCCCTAAACCCCAAACCGTCACCACTTGCAAACTGGGTCCTGAGGAGCCTCCTCTCACACCTTCGCCTTCTGCAGCGCACCTGCAGATGCTCGGACTTCGTGGGCGGCGTGTTTTGGGTTGTCTATAGGAGTTCGGGATATGTCGGCATTATGTAGAGGTCTGAAGATAACTACGTAGCATCAACATCCCCAGTCCCTATATATGTGACTGCTTGCCCTGAAAGCGCTATTCCAGTTATTACGGACCCTGCGACTCTATGATTTCGGGGGCTTAGTGTGCATACTTGTCAATAACAGATACGGTACATACAGACACCAACACCCTATTCCAATTGTGAAAGTCCCGGTATGATGTGCTTCTCTGTGCGCACATCTGCATGGAGGTGTACAGGGATTCGGCGGAGACAAGAGGAGAGAGGGGAATCGTTCGAGCCCTCGTCTTCAAGCTCCCAAATCCTTCGAGGCACTAAACCCCTCCTCCCTCAACGCACAGGGCTCTTTGGGTTCGAGTTTAGGGTAAGGCGTGCAGGTCTTGAAACTTCGACACAATGTCGTGCTAGTCGCCTGGAGCTCTCATGGGAGAGGATACCATTAACTTAGTGGCTGAGTAGGTAACCTTTAACCTTTTGGGGCTCTTATCATCCTACTATAATTCAAAAGGTTAACCTTTTTTGGGCTAGGGTACTCAGCCCTTAAGGTACTTGTTCCAATAGTATCTCCCAGCGGGAGAAGCTCTTGTCAAAGGTCATTTCGCCCGAGCTAGTTCTGTGCCGCTGGCAGAGCTGTCCCCTGCACTGCTGGGCATGCACCTCGGCCTATGAGGGATCCACAAGCAAGCTATAGATAGTATAGGGCTCAGGGTTTAGAGTGTGAGGTTTGAGGTGTAGTGTTCAGAGTTCAGGTTCGAGACGGAGTCTTGGGTTGAAGGCCCTAAATCCTCCCGGTCCTGACCTTGATTCCAAGATGTTGTGAGGGGCACATCCTGCATCCCGGAAACCCGGCAGCTCCCACATGTTTTCCACTGGGTCTAAGGTTCAGGGTCGTAATCAAGCCACCGAAAAATACGGACTCGATTCGAAGGAAGCTCGCTGCTCCCAAAATCTAGCAAGAAACTATGCAGCACAAGCGACTGCGCGAACACTTAAGCTCAAACCTAAAGCCGAAAGCGATTCCCCAAGGTTCATCAGCTTGTCGCGCAAAGACAGGTTCCAGAACGAGTCCGGCAAAAGCGGTGCCGATGTGGTCCTGCCCATCCCGACGCAGGTTGGGCAGAGGACTTCCATGGGCATTGTTCTGGGGATTGCGCAGATCACACCCCTGAAAGAAGAGGAGTGTATCAAGCCGGCGGTTTACAACAAGCCACAAGAGCCCAAGCCGCCCAAGCCCTGAGCCTACGAGAGCGCTCGTGAGGGAGTGGTACCCACACCCTTCCCAAACATGGAAGCACAGCCGCGTGAAGAGGCCTGGAGACTGAGCCACAGGAATCCTCAGGCTTCCATGGCGTATTCGGGTTTAGGGTTTAGGGTTTAGGGTTTAGGGTTTAGGGTTTAGGGTTTAGGGTTTAGGGTTTAGAGTACATAAAATCCCTTCAAAACCGTAGGAAGAAGAACTTCGAGATGTGGGCTCTGCCATCGAACCAGAGTGACGCGCTCGGAAACTTGGTTTAGAGTTTACGGAGGGATCCAAACCCGTCGGATCAAAGCACGAAGCACGAGCCCCAATCAACCCTTCAGCCGTGGACCCAGCATCGTTCAACGCAACCCTAAACCCTAAACCCTAAACCCTAAACCCTAGCTTCCTCTTCCGAGCTTGCTGCGCAGGCGGGAACCGCTGATCAAGGTGCCCTGGAAGGGAGAAGCCGAGACTTTGAAGACCATAACGTAGGCTTTAGGCTCTAGGGTTTAGGGTTTAGGGTTTAGGGGCCTTAATACTTAGAATAGGTTTGGGGAGCATAATTTTTACTATCATTAAGATAAGGAGGCCCCCCCAAAATAGTATTGGTAATTTTTCTAGACCCCTATATTGACCCCTAAGCCCTAAACCGGGAAACCCTAAAGCCTTATTTCCACCTTGATACCAGAGTCGCTTAGTCTAGTTGGAGACAGAGACCTCGTCTGGCAGATGCTTGTGGATTAACGGGGCTTGATTTGTTCTCTCGTTTCGCCCTGGCACGTTGGTGTGCGGCTTTTTCTCAAGAGTTAGCTAAGGTGGTCTCATGTCTCTTCGCCGCGCTTCTGGGCTGCCTGGCTGGGAAGGCTTTATGACTAACCCGCAAAACCCGGTTATCAAGGTCGGAATCATTGGCAACAGTAACCCCTTGAACCCTGGCATTTAGCGGTCGTTTTGCAAGGCCTAGGTGGTTCGGGTTGGGTCCGGGTCCAAAGGGCTTAGGGTTTAGGATTTGGAGTGCTTCAACCCAAACTCTCTTCCGCGAAACAGGAACCACAGCGGAGCTTGCACAGATGCCCTGTAGTCAGCGGAGGCGCCGAATCTGGCTAAGCTTCAAGCTCCAAACTCCAACATGACCATAATCAGCTACTTTGATGCCTTTCAAGTCCACAAGGACCGTGCAGATGCTGTCTACGAAGACGAAGCCCAAGAAATTGGACTTCGATGCTTGCCGGCATTGTCTGCAGAGATCTTGCAACTTCTTTCGTTTAGGCTGTGGCTGGAGGGGCAGTTTTGAACGGCAAGTCCAAATCACCGAACAGTAACCCTAAATCTAAAAAAACACCTTAGACCTGAACAAAGGATGAATCCCCAAACGAAAAGCTTTAAAATCTCGGACGTTGAACATAAAAGCCCACACCCTGAAGGCCTTGAAGCACGCCTAGACCCTGAACAAGGGTGAAGGGTTTAGGGTTTAGGGTTGAGGGTAGCGAAAGCTGGCTCCGCAGTAAAGCTGCTAGGGCTGCTTGCTCCAACTCCGGGCGAAGTGGAAAGCCTGTTGCAAAAAGGGTTGAGGGTAGCACATATAAGCCCAAAACCCTAGCTGTAGCACCAAACCGTGCAAAATAGTAGGTCGGTCATGACATGACCCCTGAAATTATGGGGCTAACCCCTAGAAGACGGTGGGAAATTCTGATCCGAAGCTAAACGCCCCAAACCAGCCGTTTTGCCTCCACAGGCCCAGGCGAGCCTCGGCGTACCAACAGTTAGCGCACCGCCCAACTGGGTGTAGGGTTTACGGATTAGGGTTTAGGGATTTGGGTTTAGGGTTTCGGGTTTAGGGTTCACGGTTCAGGGTTTTGGATTTAGGGTTGAGGGTTTAGGGCTTAAGGATGTTTAAGGTTTAGGGTTTGGGGCTTAGGGGGGTGTTCCGTAGGGTAGTTCTTCATGTTTATCATGGTATCAACTCGATAGCAGTTGTCTTTATTCTGGGTCCAAGTGCCCGAAGCCTTCCGCCCAAGGAACCCAAACGGCAAGTCCCAAAACTCAACCTCAAAATCCGAAGCTTTCCTGGTTTGAGTTTCGGGGGTTTTAAGACTTGGTTTGAGTTAGCCCTACTTGAAGAGCAGCAGCTGTTTCCCCCCCAAGGGCAAGATATACCAAGGCGAAGATATGATCGCATCAGGGTTGACGCTCACATCCGTGTGAGGCTCTTCCAAAAAGCCCTTCAGCCCCGAACCTCGAAGCTCCCTGGAGCCCTCATCTGGGGGTGCAGGGGCTTTGGGGTTTGGGGTTTGCGCGATCAAGGGTTACTGTAGGGGTTACTGTAAAGGTAAGCCTTCAAACTTAAACCCTGAACCCTAAAATAAAACCCTAAGCACATGTTTAGCCCTGATACACCTCAATGCCGTGTCCCATGTAGACCGACGAGGGATCGAGCTGTCCGTTCCCAAATCCTGAGCCTAAACCTCAGCTTACGCGTGTCAAGGAAGCACAGGATGGCTCCTGGCACAGCTTCCTCCTCAAAGGCGCGGAAAAGACCAACCAGCAGGAGGTTTGAGGTTAGGATCAAGGAGCTAAGGTGTAAGGTTTAAGTTTTCGTTGTTAGATTCGGCTTATGGTGTAGGATTGAAGGTTTAAAGTAGAAGTTATGCTCAAAGCTCGAATTGCTCGGTTTTGAAGCTCGGGGCGTTGGTGGGTTTTGACTAGAAAAGAAGATGGCAAGTTTCATAAGCGTTATTTTGTGGTTTGCTACCAGAAGCAGCAGCTTGAGACAATCGGCCTCCGGCCGAACTTTGCAGGCCCAGCCCCAAGTTGGTGGTTTAGAGTGTAGGCTTTTTTAGCCTAACACGAACACTTTGTCCAGGTTGAAAATTTTATTGGTTAGCCAGGATATTCTCTTATAGTCCGCACGTACCCTTTGTCCTCTAAACCCTAAGCCCTAAACCCTCAACGCTAAATCCTATACCCTAAGCCCTAAACCCTACCCGAAGCCCTCTACCCTACGCCCTAAACCCTCAACTCAAACCCCTTGTGTCCTCTGTTACCGAAGGCCACGACGACCTTCGCCTTGATGGGCTGCTAATGCAGCTTCTGCGTGCCGAGCCTTTGACAGCACTAGGGGGAATATTGGGCTTAGGGTTAATAGAATAATTACCAATACTATTTTGGGGGGCTCCGTATCATGACTATAGTATAAAGTGCGCCAGAACCCTATCCTAATTATTCAGGCCCCTATAGTAGAGTTTAGGAGGCATCTCAGATAGTGACCCAATGCAATCTTCTCTCCGGCTGGTGTTGTTGCAAGCAGCTCTTCAGAGGTTGAGTCTACACCCTCGACGCACGCCATGTGTTGAATTCCTGAGATTTAAGACAGAATTCAAAATTTTAATTTCAGAAACAAGCCATGAAGTTGACACCTTAGTATGCCAGCCATCAGCAAACCCACCCTGTTCAGCAAAATGCTTTGTGGTTTCAGGCTCAGGGTTTGGTGCAACGGTAAGTTTGACTTCAGGGCTATTGTGCTTTGATACAATGCCCCAAGCACTCTCGATTTCAGAAAGGTAACAAAATGCGGCCAGCATAGCAGATCTAAGAGGAAATATAGTAGGCCGATGGTTAAGACATACATTTTCCTTTGAGTTCGTTGATGTTCGGGTTCATGTATCAGGGGTCTACATTAAGAAGTGGAGGCACAAAACATAAAAATCTTCGAAGGGATCGCGTCAGGCCTCAGGCCTGGATCCTGTTATACGACTTCCCGGAACTCGAATCCCATAGCTAGGGTCTAGGGTTTAAGGTTTAGGGTTTGCATAGGGTTTTTGAACTTTCGCTCAAGAGCCCTGAACCTCAAACTGCCTCACAGCGAAAACGAGCCAGCGTCGGTATGATTTGTTTTGACGCAGCACTGCCGCAGGCCAATGGCGTGATCGACTCTGGGGAGCACCTGGGCCGGCAGTGCACTCCAGGTTTGGGTTTCAGGGTTTAGGGTTTCGGGGCTTAAGGAGTTCGGGGTGTAGGCGTTCAGGGTTTCGCGCTGAGATAGTCCATCTACAGTTTCGCGTGGATTTCTTGTTCGTAAGATTGCAGGGGAACAAAACACCATCGTAGCCGGCACTAAGAAGCCGACAGTATCTACACAGATGTTCTTGCGTGAATTGTTTCAGTCGCCGGAACAGCCACCAGCATGAACACTGTCATTCCATCCGCCTCGTCATCGTCGTCCGCATCCTCATCCTCACCCTCATCGTCGTCATTCTCATCACCCTCACAACGGTCATCACCGCATCGTCATGCCAAAACAACAACCCGAAAGCTCCGCAATACGGACATCAGGACCATATGCCTGTTCGCACCGCAGCCTTTGGCTTTTTCCAATTTTTAGCGCGCTTGCATCGGCGAAGCCGTTAGTGCGCTTGCATCTTTGCAGCCAGGGTTTAGGAACTTATGAGCCAGGAATAGTGGCCCTACACCCCAAGCCCGAAGACAGGGACCTAAATTAATGAGTAAAGTTATCCTCCGGGGGTTCCCTGATATATTATATATGTATCGTGTAATCGTATACAGCTACAGCCTCAGGCTAGACGCTTTACCCCGGGCCCTGGAACCTTGCAGCCTTCCGCTGAGAACAATGCCCAGGTTTTAGTTGGCAGGAAGGTCCCAAGCACTTACTGTAGAAGCCTTAATAATTAGAATAGGGTTTTGGGGCCCGTTATAAAATAGCATGGGTATTTGTTAAGGCCCCTATCGTACCCTCAACCATGCGAAAGCGTCTAAGTTCAAGCATCCCCAACCCTAAACCCTAAACGGCCCTAAACTCTAAAACCCTAAAACCCTGAACCCTAAAACCCTAAACCCTAAACCCTAAACGGCCCTAAACCCTAAAACCCCTAAGCAATCCTAAACCCCTAAACCCCTTAATCCTAAACCCGAAGCCCATAAAGAGGGTAGCTCACTGCTCACGGAGCTGGTGCTCGGCATCTCACGGCAGCCATGGGGCAATCTCCGACCTCTTTAGGCGGGAAGTCGGCTTGCGGTTTGTTAGGCAGAAGCATAGGACGGTTCAATGGGGTTTCGACTCTCACTCTCGCACGCAGCAGGCAAGGATTCTCATAATGCCGTCACGCCTATAGTCGCAATGGGCCGTCCACCAACACCACAGCATAGGGGTTTAGGGTTCAGGGTTTAGGAGGATTTGATACTTCGTTCTTGTGTTTCTGTCGCTCCTACGGTTGCATCCCTCGTTAAACGAGAAGGCCCTGCTGTTGAGGAGTGTTCGCTAGCACACAGTCCAAGCCCCTGCTGAAAAGGGTTCAAGTCTGCAGCTCCAGGCCCAAGACCTTAAGCAAACTCCTAAGCTTCAGGTCATGAGCTCATGTTCAAGATATCTATAATAAGCTTTCGGGTTAGGCCTTACTATGGTTTACTTCATCTTACACCTCCGCACCCCTATACCCCAGCAGCTCCTGAAGCATTACAGCCAGATCAGTGGATGTTCATCGATGTGTGTGGGTGTGCCCATGTGGCGCACATACACATATGTATGTATGTATGTATGTATGTATGTATGTATGTATGTATGTACGTATATATATATATAGATATTTATATATGCACGCACAGATATATACATACGTATACAAACATGTATATATATATATATATATATGTAAAAACATGTACAAGCACACACAATTGCGGAGCTCTCAGCCCCCTTGGGCCCAACCACCAAAGCACGACAACCAATAGAGCAACCCTTATAGCAGCCTAGTATGTTGTATAGCCTGTATAGCAAACCTTGTAGTGACCCCATAGTAGGCCATGATAGTATACAGCTCTAAAAGTCTCATAGTAACCCTTACAGTACCCCTTGTTTTAAAAACCCTATAGCAGCCCTTGCCTAAACCCTAGCCCCTCTGAAAGGATGCGAGAATTCCACGCTGGCTTGCGTTGGCCCAAACTCGGCGACGGCAAAGAACCTTGGGCAAGCACTGCAGCTCTAGGATTAATCTAGGGGCCTTACTAGAACAACCACTATGGTTTTGAGGGCTCCTTAGTAGAACTATAGTATAACATTAAAAACCCTAGTCTACTTGTTAAGCCCCTGATATTATTCTTGAATGACTCGTGTAGCGCAACGTAGAGGGACGTTTGATGATGTTGCCAGGCTTTTGGATTGTTTACAGTACAACCCAAGGTTACCGTTTCATGATTTAGAATAGGGGTGTTGTGGGTTTTGTACATCCAGCGCTAAATCCTGCATTTCTATAAGAATCTCGGATCTTGCTTGCGTTCTAAGCCGCTGATAGCCCTCCTGGTTGAAGCATGTCGAAGTTCTCAATCCAACTAAAGACTACCAAGCCATTAGGCTTCAAGGGGCAGGAAGTTAGCAGGCCCTGTCCCGGGCGGCGGCGGGGGGGGGTGGCTGGCGTGCGGGCTTTGGGATTCACTGAATCCGATTCAGGTCTTGTGGCCTATGAAAAGAAGCCTGAATCATTCCTAATTACTCATGGTTTGTTCCTTATTCTAAAAGACTGTACCCGAACCCCTACAACCGTGTCCCAAGTACTTCCTGCCGTGCCGACGGCGACCGAAACCGTCACCGGAACCCTTGAAGTAAGTCGGCTCTAGAAGCCTCGAAGCAACATAGGGCTCAGAGTTTAGGGTGAAACTAGGGGCCTTAATCATAATTAGAGCAGGATTTGGGCGGCTCCTTGTTAGAATTATAGTATAGTAGACCCCAACGCCCTATTCTAATTATTAAGGCTACCATCTTACTTATTACGATGTCAAAGTCACCTACGCCTCGAACTCTGAAGAAGAACGGAGCCCTGAGCCCCAAGACTCGAACAAAAATTGCAAGGCAGCCGCTCAAAGCCTTCCACAGGCACTTAGATATAGGGTTTAGGGTTTAGGGTTTAGGTTTTAGGGTAGATAGATCCGGCTTGAAGCCTCCCCTCATACCAAAAACACGCCCCCAAACCCCAAGCCCTCAACATTCTTGCTTAAAAAGCCCGTCTGTATAGCACCCTTACGAACCGGGCGGGTCCCTGAACCTTAGGAAACCCTTGAAAAAAAGAGTCTCTAAGCCAAAACAGGAGCTAGAACGACAACTTTAGGTTCCCCAAACCCTATAAACCCAAAAAGCCCTGAACCCTAGACCCGAAACCCTGAACCCTAAACCCCAAACCCTGAACCCTGAACCCTAAACCCTGAACCCTAAACCCTAAACCCTGATCCCTAAACCCTAAACCCTGAACCTTAAACCTTAAGCCCGAAACCCTGAACCCGAAACCCGAAGCCCGAAACCCGAAGCGCTATATAAACCACCCCGAAGCCACCCCGAACCTCAAGCCCCAAAACCACCCCGAACCCGAAGCCCGAAGCCCGAAATCCGAAGCCCGAAACCGGTATGGAATGAGAGTGGCTCCCCTGAGAACCCTGGGCTGCTGTGAGTCTGCCATCATCAGGGAGGCCCCGCCGAAAGCTTCAGCGCTGGGGTTTGGGGGTGTAGGGGTTTCGGGGTCAGGGTTTAGGGCTTTAGGGTTCAAGGTTTTGGGTTTAGGGGTGAGGGTTTAGGGCTTTAGGGTTCAAGGTTTTGGGTTTAGGGGTGAGGGTTTAGGGCTTTAGGGTTGAAGGTTTTGGGTTTAGGGGTGAGGGTTTAAGTTTAGGGTTTTAGGTTTAGGGCTGAAGGTTTAGGGCTTTAGGGTTTAAGGTTAAGGGTTTGAAGGGTTCAGGAAACTGGCCTTCAGTAAGGATGGACAAGGGATCTCAATGGGGGTGTCTAATGAGGGTCTGGCTAGAGCTCGATGGGGGTTTATAAGGGTTTAGCCTTCGGGATGAAGATTTAGGGGTCTGGGGTCTGGCGAGCATTGAATGAGGGTCTGAACTGTGCTGTAGGATCTTCGTTTAGGGTTTAGGGTTTATTTTAGCATTCAGGCGATGGCATAAGCCCTGATGCAAAAAGGGTTTAGGGTTGAGGGATTCTCATGGTTTCATGAAAGGTCTCGCGTCCTTGGCGGAGTGTTCGGGGCAGAGCAGCAGTCTTACAAGTGTGTTGGTTTGCAGGCTTAGCTCTTCGCCGTGAGTTCCTAGTGCTTCGTAAGGGTTTACCGGGTGTGCGGTTTAGAGTTTTCGGGTTGGACAAGTCCTGATGCCAAAAAATGGTTCAGTGTTTAGGCTCAGGGTTTGGACCAGCTCCAGGTCTCCATAACGGTCTGGGGTGTAGGGTTTAAGGTTTGAGGCTTTGGGCTTGAGCATAGGGTTCAATCAAAGTTTCAAGGGTGTCGGTTTAGTGTTATCCAGAACAACCTAGTCTACATTTTCAGATGGGTAGTTACCGTTATAGGAGCCTTATAGAGGGTCTATATACCCTATGGAAGCCTTATAGAAGCCCCTTTTTACCCTAAACTCCCCACCTGTAGTTTCCCTTAACCTAGGGTTTTAAGGGTAGAGTTCAGCCCGCAAGGTTGAAGTGGAGGGTTTCAGGTTGTCAGATTCTGGAAGGCCCGGGTCCACGCGGGGTTTATCCGTCGGCTTGGGCTTGAGGTGTGGTGTTTGCACAGGTTGTGGCACCTCTTGCGTAGGTCTCGGCAAAGATCCCGTGTGATTTTGCCGGCAGGCATCTGGACAAGTTAAAGTCGATCCGACAGCAGCAACACCATCAGTACCCTGCAGAACATACTCCAACACTAGCGTCGTCCTCGGAGAGCCTCTTCGCTAAAGATCATAAAGCGTATGCAACTGCATTGGTCCATACAGCAAGATGAAGAGATGTAAGTCAAAAAAGGGTTAGAAAGAATATCCCTTCATGCCTTCCCCCATATGCCCTAAAAGTCACCCCCAAAGCCGCTAGGGTACCGCTTAGCCTTCAACCTTCCCTTACCCGTCAATCCTTACAGTAGCTGTTAAAGTGCGTACCCGCTGTAGCTCCCCTACTAGAACTCGTGTAGTACTCCGTGTCATACCCTGACAAAACCAGCAAAGGAACTTGCTCAAATGTAGCACCCTTTGAGTGGAAGCCTAGAAGGAGCCCCAAAATACAGCACCCGTTAAATGCAGCCCTGCAAAGTAGAAGGAGCCTTTACAAGGAACCCTAGAAATATAGAAGGATCCCTATGCCTATAATGTAGAACCTGTCTTTAAAAAAGGGACCCCAGAATAACCCTAAACCCTAAACCTTAAACCCTAAACCCTAAACCCCAGACCCTAGGAAGGGGCCCTGAAACCGACGCCCTCCGGGCGGCAGGTTGAGACGGTCGCTGCAGAGGGCCTGGTTGCAAAGAAAGGAACCTCCGATCCTCGGCGGACGTCTTTTTGAAAGGGGTTTCTGAAGGCCAGTTTTTGGAGGGGTTGAGGGGTTAGGTTTTTGAAGGCCACTTTTTTGAGGGGTTTAGGGTTTAGGGCTTTGAAGGCCAGTTTTTGAGGGGGTTTAGGGGGTTGTGGGTTGAGGGTCTAGGCTTCGGGTTTGGGGCAGAGTCTGGGTTCAAAAAGGGTTTAGGTGCACAGTTAGGGCTCAGGTTCTCGGTTTGGGGTTTCGGGGCTCTCGTAAGGGGTTCCCCTTCATGGGCTCTTTGAAGGGCTCCGTTCTTCATGGGATTAGGGTTTCAATCCAGCCCTGAATCCAACAACCCAAAACCCAAGAACCCTAGACCCAAGTGCAAGTACAGACCTCAAGCGATTGCTCTTAGGGCTGAAGCGCAATTCCTGCTCCTTCATGGCTGTATTTCTCCGGTCTATGAACCACTGAACCCCAAACCCTAAAACCCAAAACCCTAAAACCACTAAACCCCTAAACCCCTACGCCCCATAACATTGCACTTGAGCCCATGAAACCCCGACACCTAGAACTCTGAATCTACGGAGTGCAAAACAACATTACATCCACCCTACGGCCCAAAGGTCCCTAGACATCTAAACCCAAAAGCCCTGAAGCCTGGAAAGACCCAACAAGGCCCTAAACTCTAAACCCTGAACTTCTAGAAAGACCCGAAAAGGCCCAAAACCCTAAACCCTAAACCCTAGAAAGACAAGGCCCTAAACCCTAAACCCTAAACCCTTGAAAGACCCCCAAAAAGGGGCCCCAAGGCTAAGCTCTCAGAGCCTGGCTCCGACCGCAGCTGCGACACCTCGGTCCTGGCTGAACCTCCAAGCCTTGATTTCCCCAAAGCCTCTGCATCCCAACACGTCTAATCGTAGGGGCCTTTAACATAATTACTTGTAGTTTACCTATAGTATGTTGGGGGTTCGTTCTGATAATTAGAGTAGAAGATACCCCAAAAGGCCCGATTGTAACTATCAAGGCCCCTACACCATCCCCGAACCCAGCTGCAATGCGGAAAACAAGCGCCGAACGCCTCAGACTTCCTGAGGCCGAGACTTTGCAATCCCGCAGTATGCTCTCCGAGCCTTCGGAAGCTTGGGTGCTTCGTTTTTTTTTTTTTTTTTTCTTTTTTGGGCTTGGGGTTCAGGGTTTAGGGTTTAGGAACCTACCGTATTAGGGTAAGGGTTTAGAGCTTATGGGGTTTTAGGGTTTAGAGTTTGGGGCTTAGGGTTATTAGGGTTTGGGTTTCCGGTTATTTGACTGTGTTAGGGTTTGGGGTTGCGGATTCTGGACTTGAGCAAGAAGGGCTTGTTTGATTCAGTTGTGTCTTGCTGGTTGAGGTACGGCTGGGGTCGTTTGGGGTTGAGAATCTAGAGTCCGGAGTTGGAAGTAGATAGTCGGTAGTTGTAAACAGAAATCGATTGAGGGCTGCCGGGTGGTAGATCCCAACAGAGTGTGCGAACCGCGCTCGCTTGCCGTTATATCTTCCACCTCCTCCGGAACACTCCAAGAATATTCAGTTTGCACTTTTCCAAGTTTCGTTGGACTTCATTCGCGAGCTTTTTTGCGACCGAAGCGACACTTAGGAACGCTAGTGATGTAAAGACGAAAGCCAACTACCAAGACACAAGCCTGCGCAGTGTGTAGCGTCGTACTACCTTGTCCCGTGGCCCGTCAAGCCGGAACGATTCTAACGGCCTACCGGGTTTAACCACCTCAAATGAAACCCTCAAACCGTAAAGCCTGAATCCCCAAATTCGATTTTGTTTTTTTCCATTGTTTGTACGTCGTACGAAATCAGTGGTCATGTCCGTTCACGGTCCCTGTATACACACGCCCTCCGTGCCATGTACTAGCCTCAACCCTGAAAGTTGCCGTCGCAAGGACGTGTTCGCTCCCATCGCGACAGCTCCCATGTCCCCACGCTCGGTCGCTTGCCTTGGTGGGGCTGGTGGGGTCTGGATGGGTGCGCAGATTGCAGTTGCTGCTATCCTCAGTAGGCGTCGTACTTGCGCCTCAGGATAAACAGGCCTTTTGCTGAAGGTTCGAGATTTAAGGGTTAGGATGTGGGGTTCGGTCGTTGTAGGGTGCGCTTCAGATTGACATCGCTTACGACCTTCACTTCAGAACCTGACGAATAATTAGCCGAGGCATATTCAGCCTTCTATACTATTTTTTCTTGCTTCTCCCAAGCACTGTGACCACCCAGGAATCGACGAGCGAGCGTGTGCCGTCACCGGCTCAGGCATGCGAAACTGGGTCCGTGCTAGGAACGTAGCTGAGTCACCATAGCTGAGTTTTTATAGCAGTATCTACGACGAATCGGGTCTTGCTAACGAATAACCTTCTCTAAGTTTCCCAGAATCAGGACAGCGTGTTATTTATGTTAGACTTCTGAGGAGACCACGGGAAGCTTACAGCAGGGCCACATCCCGAAGCCATTCCAACAGCCCCCCAAGCGAGTTGCACAGAGGAGCCCCGAAATTGTAAAACTAAACCTCAACCCCCCCAAAAAAACGAAACGCAGAGCTCGTAAGAACAGTAACACCAGTCGACAATAACAACAGGAATAGTGACGGCACTGTTCAGAGTTGCACAGAGAGTAACGCAAAGAGGGGCGCGGACCCTAAACCCTGAACCTAAACCTTTTAAACCCTGAACCTAAACCCCTAAACCCTAGACTCTAGACGTAAGCCTCCCTGCGGTGCGACTTTGTCAGCTGGGCGAGTGGGAAAAAAGACTTAAGCCCTAAACCCTCAACCCTAAACCTAAACCTGGGCTCGTCCTTGCTAGGTAGGAGCGAGTAAAAGACCTAAACCCAAACCCCTAAACCACCCTAAACCTAAGCCCTAAACCCTCAACTCTAAGCTTACACCTAAACCCCGAAACCTTATAAATCCGCCCTCCGATGGTAGGCCATTGACCCTCGCCGGCCCGCCCTCGGAGATTCTTGGATTGAAAGCTCCAAGTGGGCCCCAAACACCCTGTTCAACCCCTGTTCGTTTAGGGTTTAGGGTTTAGGGTTTAGGAAGGCCCCTAAGCGGCCCCTACATTGGCACAAGGGGTTGAGCCCAGGTTGTGGGGGTTTGGGACTGCTTTGCTCTCACGGCCATCTGAACGGGTTTAGGGTTGAGGGTGTAGGGTTTAGGATATGGGTAGTTCTCTAAGTTAGGGCCCCTTTTCAGGTCCCAAATACAGTACTTCACCCTAGTGGCATTGACTCCTGTTGTGTTTGAAGATATTTCATTCTTTCCTTTCGTTTCGGGTCTTGGGCAGGGTTTATTGAATGAGCTCATTTCTATTCCTTTTGCTTCCTAAGGCTTGTGGGGGTCATTTTGCCCGTTCACCCTCAACCCTGAACCCTCAACCGGCTGGCTTTCACGATTTTAAGCTTTAGTGACTCTGGGCCCAGAAGATCTGTCACAGCCAGATGTCTACGCCTAGAATGCCGAAGAGCCCTCGTGCAGGAACCTGTAAGAAACCCCGGTCCGGTCCTTGAAGCCCAAAACATTCGGACCCATAAATGTAAGAAGGGCCCAAGGTTACGGTAAAAACAACGCTTACCGAGCGTCAAAACAACTCTTGGGTGGTCGAAGCAATTTGACAGATGGCACATGTCTTTGTTTCGGACGACAGCACCCCTTGGTTCAATTAGGATTTAGGATCTAAATGGGTTTAAGGCTTATACTTCTTGCGATTTTGATGTACGCCGGTGAGATGAGCAACCCACTATAGGAAACCAAGGCTATCGGAAACTCAGTTCAGCCCGAGCCCGATCCACAACCTGCAATCATCCGTACCAGTCTCCTATATCCAGAGAGCCCCAAGAGTCATGATATGGGAGTTCCCGAAAGTTAGCGTACCTTATTTTGGAGTCCTTCTAATAAGGATCCCGCTATTTAGGGTGCTATATTATGGTCCCTGAATTGCCCATGCGATTACAGGATTCTTCCCGACTGTGGGTTTCTATATCTCATCATTGCTACATATCCACAAGCCTAAACTCCCTAGTCCCCACAAGCAGCCACCTTCAGCCCTAAAGCCCAAAGCAGGTCGACCAGGGTGTGCTTCGTGCCGTTCCCGTGCGGAAGTTACTTCGGCCGGGAATGTGGAGACGGCGGGCCATCATCTCGCAACAGGAAAATGGGGTTTTATGGTTTAGGGCTTACAGTAGGCGTTTCCTAGCAGCCGGTTCTTTTAAGTCATACTCCTTTCTGGGGGGTCTCTGCTGGGTCGCTTGTTTTCTGAAACTCACAGATGTCTGGCGGATCTGGGGCTTTAAGTTTTTTTTGGGCGTTTGGGGTGAGTCAAGGGCAGGGCAGGGTGCACCTGCCAAGAAGCTCGTGCATATAAGGTCCTTTTTGCCAGAAGTCGGCGTCATTGAAGTAAGCACTTGCGACGGAAGCCGCAGCCTTAAACCCTAAACCCTAAATCCTAAACCCAAAGACTTGCACAAGCTCCAGGCCCGATAACCTCAACTCTTAAGAGGATCGCGCGTTTCTGTAGTTCGAGCAAAGCCCCAAAGCCCTACTACGGGACCCTAAGAAACCCACTGTTTTAAGAACTTATACAAGAACCCATATGACTCCAAGGGCCACAAACCTTAAACCCTTCACAAACCTTAAGCCCTGCAGAGACCAAAAGGAACGGAGACTTGCATCTGGATTGTTGGTGCCCCCTTTCTTTAGTCTTAGTTACCATAATAGGGCTCTATAGCAATCATAGGGTCTCTTATTATGGTAACTTAAATATTTAATCCCTTGACAAGAACCCAGATTAGGGTTTACCCCTAGTCTCCACTAACCCTAAACCCTTAACCCTAAACCCTAAAACCCACCCATAAGCACTAAACGGACAGATTGGCGCACACCTCGGGCCCACCAAGCCGTTGAACTCTGAGGTGGATGCCCCTGGAACTTGAGCCAATGGGAGCCCGATGATCAACAGCCACGAATACTAGCTGATAGACCTATGTGGTCCCAGTTAATCCTCATGTGCTACATCGTATTACCAGTACACCGCCACAGCCGCAACCGCAAGCCGTGCAAAAATGTGGGCGACCCAGCTTGCATCCGACACTCCCAAGCAAAGCCTATACCCCAACCAGACTCTGACGCCCTAAGCTTAAAACCCAAAATTGAAGAAGGGTTGAGGGTTGAGGGCTCCCGACCCTGAATCCAACCCCTATGTCTGAGCCCCCTAAAGTTCTGCACCCTTGCGTCCTAAACTCTGAACCGGCTTAGGGCTTAGGGTGTGGGGTGACCTGGCTCGACAGGAGGGCGACGAGCTCTACGGTCAGTCGAAGCCTGTGGAGGCGGCCCCTTCGGAGTGAAAGCCAAGCTCCTCCATGACGGATGGGAAGTTCAAAATTAAGGTTAAGGGGTGTAGGGCCTGAGGTTTAGGGTTTACGGTTAAGGGTTGAGGGAGTGGAGTTTAGGGTTTGAGATTTAGCTTAGGGATTAGCTCGTCGTACTACTTGAGGACCTTACTATATTGCGTCCTTGGCCAGACTCCCCTTTTCTCTGAATCGTACATGACAGGGCTCCTCTTAATATAGGGGCCTAAATAATTACCAATACTACTTTGGGGGGGTTCCTTATTATAAGTATAGTATAAGGGGCCCCAAAGCCCTGTTCTAATTATGAAGGCCCCTACCAGTACATAAGCACGAGGGGTTGAGCCCAGGTTGTGGGCTTTCACGGCCATCTGAACGGGTTTAGGGTTGAGGGTTCAGGGTTTAGGGTTTAGGGTAGTGAGGGCTCTTAGATTCCACATGGCAGAAGCTGGGCTTGGCGCTTTAGTACCAGTGCCGGTTTCGGAGGGTGAGGAAGACAAGTCAAGATCACCCTCTCCTTCAAAGCGCCGAAGAGATGTCGCACGTGTGCCTGAGCGATATGAAGAAGGCGAGTCTGCTGATGCTATGCTGGCCAGACTACTTGAGAGACATACGTCACAACAACCGCCTTGGGCCCTTGCTTTGTCCAACTCCATCACGGAGCAGGTCAGCAAGCTTAGTGCCAGTGTGAATGTGTTGCACGATCGCCTTACAGACTCCGAGCGCAAAGGGGGAGAACAGATCGCCAACTTGCAAGAGCAGCTGAACGAGATGCGCGAGGAAGTCAGGACCTTACAGAGCAGAGGACAC